AGTAGAAGCTTTATATTTTTTTAGTGGAACATAGTACTCCAGAGCTGTATAGAGAATATTGTAAAAATTTGTAACTACAATATTTAAATCCTCATCCTTCAGTATTTCGGTACATTTTCATACTGCTTACCAGTTTTTTGGGTATATAGCCTTCTGAAAAATAAAAAAAACTAAATCAATAGAGAATCAATTCAGCAGATTCTCCATTGATTAAGCTTTGTTTATTTTTCAGATTTTGGAAAGTTATATACCCAAAAATACAGTGTGAAGTATTGAGTCCTCAACAAAAAAATGTCTTTCAATATATATAAACATTTTTCAATTCATTATTTAAATCTGAAATCCTGCCTTCAGTAAAAACCATGATGGCAAATTAATAGCTCTAAGAAACTTTGTGTAACTGTTCAAAATGAAGGTTTTGTAGCTCGTAGTGTTATGGTGGACATGCGCATGTTTGAAAGGAAACATAATTTTATGGGGGAATCACTCGAGAGCAGAATAGTTAGTGTATTTCAGTAAAACCGAGAAACGGTATAACTGGAAGTGTTGGAAAAATGACATGATTTTCATTTGACAAAGCACTTGAAAAAAACTTGTATTTGCCAATTTTCAGGATATGAATCCTATTATTTCTCAAAATACAGCTAACCGACGGTCATCATGCTGTACCCTGTATATACATAAATGTACTTTATTGCTAAAAGTCAACCCTTCTAATAATAGATAGATAGATAGATATGTTTATTCATCACTGAAGTTTTACAAGATACAGCATATAAACTTGTCTCCCTAAAACTTATCGGACTAGTCAGACATGAAATCGTTTCCTTACACTCAATTGAAATTTCATGAGAGCCTGATAACAAAAAAATATCTTCAATTGTTATATTTCACTTTCAAGAATTATCTCTGTTAACACTTTCCAGGTATGCAGAAGCTGAGGCTTCTATACTAGAAAACTCTATATCAGGAAATACTTTGGAAGATGAAGATCTTATAAAAGAGTTTGGAGAACAAGCTAGCTTTGCCTTGATGCTTCTTGGAAAAATAGCTGCCAAAACTGAACGCAAGACTAGAGCAATAGAGGCATGGAAAAAAGCATTGAAGATAAATCCTTTTTTATGGTCATGCTTTGAGTGCTTGTGTAAAATTGGTGATAAACCTAATCCCCAAAATATCTTCCAAATATATAACATGGAAAACATCTCAATGTGCCAAGGCAGCAGCATTAGTAATATAGAAAGTGTTATTATAACAAATAATACCTCAGTTCCAGACAGTCAGGAGACATTTGTAAATACTCCATCTCCCCTATTCAGTAATTTTAATCCAAATATTAATATTGCCAATCCAAAGCAACTGTATACCCCTGAAGAAAGTCCGTTAGCACAGCCATTGAGCATGTCTGGATTTTGGCCCCTGTCGTCAGTTCCAACTACCAGATATAAATCTTTAAAATCTAGAGTGGATTCATGTACCAGCGTGAGTATACCTTTTTTTATTTTCCGAATCATATAATGTAAAATTCACAATTTCCATTTCTGAATGAATTGATTAGATAAAACAACATCTGCCTTTCTCTACTAATCTTTTTGGCTTTCTACTTCTTCTCAAAATACTACCTACAGATTCATTCCGGCCATAGTTGGTGCGACAAAAGGGTACTTTGAAGATATCCGAATTTCTTGTTCTCCTTGGATTCTCATTCAAAGTTATAAGTTCGACAAGTTCCATTGAATTGATGCTACCATTGATTATTTTATGAATTAGTGTAAGGTCTGCTTCTAATCTTCTATGCGCCAGAGTATTCAAGTTAAGAATGTCCAATATAATTTTATAGTCATATTCACCAATATGATATCCCAGATTATAAGCAGAGTACCTTAAAAACTTATTTTGAACACTTTCAAGCATCCACATGATATCCACCAAATTGTGGAATTGTATTCGATTTTATTGATCTAACAATTAAACAATATATGATTTTTATTGAAGTGAGAGATAATTCATTTGCAGATCTAAGAATGATACCTAACATTTTGAACGCTTTAGAAGTAATATTTGCAAAATGGGGTTTAAATGACATTTTTGGGTCGAGAGTGATTCCTAAATCTCTGATTGTGTTTATTGTTTTCAGTTCTGGTTGATTGATTTTGTATGGCCAGTTGATGGGATTTTTGTTTCGGAAAAAAGTAAATTTTTGACATTTGTCTATATTTAATTGCAGTAGATTAATATCACACCAGCAAACAGAGTTAGATAAATCATACTGTGATAATTTTGTAACAGTTGAGTCATGAATAACTTTAAACATCTTCAGGTCATCAGCAAACAAAAGAAATTCACTACAAACAATAACATCTTTCAAGTCATTGACAAATAAGTTGAAAAGCAATAGCCCTAAATGAGAACCCTGTGGTACACCCGATGGAACTGTGATTGAGGCAGATACTGAGTTACAATATTTTACAAATTGTACTCTGCAGGCTAGATAATTTTCAATCCATTTCAGAATGTTTTCTTGAATACCCAAAGCGTTTAGTTTATGCAACAACAAATTGTAGTTTACTCGGTCAAATGCCTTTGAAAAATCTGTGTAAATAGAATCCACCTGGTGTCTATTTTCGAAGGCGTTTATTATACAGTGTTGATAANATAGATAGATAGATAGATATGTTTATTCATCACTGAAGTTTTACAAGATACAGCATATAAACTTGTCTCCCTAAAACTTATCGGACTAGTCAGACATGAAATCGTTTCCTTACACTCAATTGAAATTTCATGAGAGCCTGATAACAAAAAAATATCTTCAATTGTTATATTTCACTTTCAAGAATTATCTCTGTTAACACTTTCCAGGTATGCAGAAGCTGAGGCTTCTATACTAGAAAACTCTATATCAGGAAATACTTTGGAAGATGAAGATCTTATAAAAGAGTTTGGAGAACAAGCTAGCTTTGCCTTGATGCTTCTTGGAAAAATAGCTGCCAAAACTGAACGCAAGACTAGAGCAATAGAGGCATGGAAAAAAGCATTGAAGATAAATCCTTTTTTATGGTCATGCTTTGAGTGCTTGTGTAAAATTGGTGATAAACCTAATCCCCAAAATATCTTCCAAATATATAACATGGAAAACATCTCAATGTGCCAAGGCAGCAGCATTAGTAATATAGAAAGTGTTATTATAACAAATAATACCTCAGTTCCAGACAGTCAGGAGACATTTGTAAATACTCCATCTCCCCTATTCAGTAATTTTAATCCAAATATTAATATTGCCAATCCAAAGCAACTGTATACCCCTGAAGAAAGTCCGTTAGCACAGCCATTGAGTATGTCTGGATTTTGGCCCCTGTCGTCAGTTCCAACTACCAGATATAAATCTTTAAAATCTAGAGTGGACTCATGTACCAGCGTGAGTATACCTTTTTTTATTTTCCGATTCATATAATGTAAAATTCACAATTTCCATTTCTGAATGAATTGATTAGAATAAAACAACATCTGCCTTTCTCTACTAATCTTTTTGGCTTTCTACTTCTTCATTATCAAACAAAAAAATGTGGTTATTTTATTTCCTCCTTTGTTTGGAAGTTTCTTACACATTGATTTACAACTTTGAAGCCACGTGTCCCATTAAAAACAAAAAAATAAAAAAAACCATTGGAAATGAATGGGGGGTAACAAATGAAATAAAAAAATCATCTAAAGATTTAAAACAATGACATTACCTAAGAAAACAATTTCCAACACTTGATCTTGAGTATAAATTTGACAAAAAACAACATAAAAACCTCTTGTTAAGTACGAAAAATCAATTTTACATCAATAAAATTCAAAATTCATCAAACAAAAGTAAGTCTACTTGGCAGATTATAAATGAGCTCAATGGAAAAAAAACCCAAAAAC